ACACCCTGATTCAGCTGGAAAGTTGGTTCACAGCCACAGGCCACACCCGGGTCCCTGTAGTTGGACCGCCTAAGGCAAGGCGGTGGCTGTTCGGTTTGATCTAGAGCTTCGGGAGCTGGGACTCTGACCAGCAGGCCCAAGGTAGGTGCCCTTGGCTGAACTGTGGAGCTGCGTGGCATCTTGGTTTCTTCAGGAATCGCTGGGGTGGCTGGAAATCCAACCTCTTCAAGGGTGCCTTCCCAGCCATCTTTGTGGTCTGCTGTCAGTTACAGGAAGGGGCAGGGAGGTGTGTGGATGGGGCAGCCAGGGAAGGCCTGGGTTGGGGTAACACCCCTTGATGTCTCTTTGGGAGTCCTGGCCTGCCCCGGGGGTCCCAGTTGTGAGCCCTGCCTCACCAGGGCACTGTCTTCATAGGCCTCAAGATGCTGCAGCTAGTCGAGAGCCGGCCCCTGACCAAGCACGACCTGGCCGCCTCCCCCAGCACACAGCTGTTTGCCAGGTCCAAGTCTGCCTGCCAGGGCGAGCGGGACCCTCTCTGAGGCTTTCCCAGGCTTCCCATTCCAAATGGGAGCTTATGCTAGATTCCCTTAGATCTCGCTCTATTAGTAATAAAGGACTGATACCCTCCCTGGGCAATTAGCAAGCGAGGGCAAGTTTTGGCTTTGGTGAGAAATGGCATTGGGAGAAGTTTGGATTTGTGACCCAGTCTTGTTCCTCTCAGACCTTCTGAGGCATATGTCTGAGACATGTCTTCCAAATGTAAGAAAGTGTTCAACAGGTGAAGATGTCCAATAAAATAAGTGACCCAGTGTGTAAAGCCTCTGTGCTCTCTTCATTCCTTTGGATAAGCTTATCTGGCCCAGGAGGGGCTTTGAGCTAGCCCCACATTGTGATCTGCGGAACTGCCATGAGCGGCCACTTGTGCGGGCTCCCAGAGATGCTGCCCAGCTCTGGAGTGTGAAACAGAAAAGACAGCTCTTCCACAAGCTGCTGCTCTCACACCTGGAGCCTGGCCAGGCTGGTCTGGGTTGAAGGAAGACAAGGGTTTCTAGAAAAGAAGGGACCTTCCCCAGCCTTCCCCTGGATCTTAAAAGGCAGACGAATGAGAGAAGAAATGTGTGTGTGTGGAGGGGAGGGTCTAGATGGAGACAGAAACTGGTTCCACTCCAACTGCCTGGTGAAGTAGGCACCTAGGCAGCCCAGGTCTGAACCTTAGGTCCCCAGGTCATTGTCCCTGATTGCTAGAAGTTTGGGGATGGTGACAGGGTGTTCTGGGAGCAAAAGATCCTGAAGTCCCCTAAGGTATGAATAAATCGATAGTAAGATTTCCAGAACTTTCCTGGATGCCAAATTCACATTTGGATCTCTCTAGCCAAGATTAATGCAAGCTAAACATGTCCTCACTTGAATTCTTCCTGTTAGAGCTTCTCCAGCAAACTGTGTCTCACGATGAAGCTATTGTAGGTGAGAGAAGACAGTGCCCTGGACTCCAGGGGCACTGGTGAAAGTGCTAGGTGGAAGTGCTAGGAAGTGGTTGAACTTGGAATATATTTTAAAACCAACAAAATTTGTTAATTTCATGGTTTTTGGCCAGTTATAAACAAATGGTAAGATCAGGATCATGGTAGAAAAACACTCATGAGTCTGGCTGGAAGAAAACCAATCATACTATTCTCAAAGGGAATATTATGCTTACTTCCTAATTGATAATTGGAAGATTAATGGCTCAAAAAGTAGAGGGAAACTTTTTTTTTTTTAAGACAATTGCACAAAGACTGTTTTCTCCCTCAACTGAGTTTCATACTAAGAGTTATCAAATTAACATTCTGCCTTCTTGGGACTGTGATTCTGATCTCTAAATCTATTTCACCAGAGATTTCTGTATGGGCACAACTCACATATTAATAATGTAGAAGTTAGTATCTCAAATACTGGAGTGAGACTACATGTATTTACATCCTAGCTCTACCACTAAATGGCTCTATGATCTTCAGCAAGTTCCTAATCTCTCAGTGCATTAGTTTTCTCATCTAATCCTAACTACCTATAACTATATAGAAGTTAGGTGTGTATATATATATATATATATATACATATATATGTTTGTTTGTTTTTTTTGCCTACATTTCACTGTTTTTCTTCCAATAGAACTATGTTTTTGTGGGTCCCTCCTCCCTAGTTTCAAAAAGGGAGTTCTGATTGGCCAGAAGGACAGATACTTAGTGACTACTCCAGGCTCAGGAATGATCATGCGACCTAATCAAATGTCAGGAAAGGATTTATATTCCATACTTGAGTGGAGAGCTCCCCACCTCCTCCCCTCTCCGGTTAGATGTGATCAAGGAGGTTTTGCGGCAGCGCTTGCCTCTGGCAGCCCTCTTGTGGACAATGAGAGGAACCATCAATAGTATCCTGCTGACAGGGAGGACAGCTGGAACCTTGATGATGTCATTGAGCAAAATGTCCTCTGCCACCCTACCTTTGGATTTCAATTGTTAGATAATACAATTAATGAAGGATAGTTGGAAGAAAAGCAGGCAGGGACAGGGCCCCCTCACCCCACTTGGAGGAAACCACCATTAAAAGGATTTTACACAACGCTGGAAGGAGCCCTCCACCCTTTCCCACGTGATAGATGACAAAAACCTGATTGGATGACAGGCAACCCCTAGACTTAGAAACTCCGGTGGCATCCCTGTTGTGTCCCCTCTTTTGTTGGGAGCTTTGTACTATAGTTCAATAAACTGCTTTGCTGCCCACCACTCTTTGCCTGGTCTACCTCTTCATTCTTCAGAGTGGCGTGACCAGGAACCACGGGCACTGAAGGAAAAGAAATCTTGTAACAAAATGTTCTTATATTTAAGGTTGTTCCAGCCAGGGTTTTCTTATGCTTGAAGCTAAATACATCCTGATATAGTGCCTGTGGTAATGTGAGGATTAAAGGGCAAAATACCTGGGAAGCATTTATGGACACAATGCTGGGCAGTCACTAAACATGGGTTGTTATTCTAAAGGATGGGATCCAAAAAATCTGTAGGGTGGCTCTGGCTATGGGCCTGGCCTTGGTAGGATGTAAAGAGATGTGGAGAGTAAGAATGTGCTCAGGGACAGGGGAAGGGAGACTAGACCCCCTGTTTTCTTTGGCCTACAGTAATGTTTGAGAGAAGTCAATCTTCCTGGTGAATGGAGAAAGTCTGGGAAGGGGTGTCAACTATGGGGTCTGAGCCAATTATGATTGAGGGACGGAGAAGGGATAGGCCAAGGATGCTGAGGCCTGGGATGGGAGGATGAGGGAGGGGTTGCTTCTCCCAGTTCTGTAGAAATACAGATTACTCATTATTTGGCATTAATTAATTTCTTCCCAGACTCCTCTGGAAAAGTACTTTGGGAGAAGTAACAGATTGAATCTGCTTAATTCACTGTGTGGATGAGGCTTGATGATCCTTCTCTTCTTGACTTGAAAGACCTCCGAAGTTAGGGGTTATAAGTTGCTGAAAGCTGAATAAAGGGTCAGAGACCAAGACACTTTCATTAATTCAACATTATTGGGTGCCTGCTGCACGGCATCATGTGAGAAGCCTGAGGTGTCGTGGGGGTGAGATGTCCCTGTTCTCAAGTAGTTCCGGTTCAGTCTGGGGCATCTGAAGTGACCTTGGGTGATGCTTGGGAGGGAAATCTGGGTGGAGATACGTGACTGGGTGGGATCATCCAGTAGTTGAGGTCAGAAATGAGACAACTTGGGGCAGAGTGTGAAAGGGAGATGAGAAAAAGGAAGAAGCTGATGATGGAATTTGTGGAAACACCAACAGTTAAGGGACTAAAAGCAATAGGGAGCTTGGAAAAGTGAATAATGATTGGTTCAGAGAGGTAGGAGACAAACTAGGAAGCAGTTTTAGAGAGAGTGGCTGTGGTGTCACCTACCTCAGAAAAGCCAAGGGGGATGCTGATGAATGTATCCATTGAATCAGCTTTCTAGAAGGTCATGGGTGAACTCATGAGTGGTTTTTCGGTGGTGTTGAATGGGCTGATTTGTCTGATTTGTCTGATTGTCATGTGTTGGTTAGTGGATGGATGCTGTGGGAATGGAAATGCCTTATTTTGTAAGTAGTTTGGTTCTAAAGGGAGAGTGAGATGTTGGGTAAAATAAAGAGGAAAGTAAGTTCTCAAGCGTTGCTGGTAGCATGGAAGCCTACTCATGTTTATGAGGAGAAAGAGCGAGAGTGAGATGCAGCAGATATGGGGAAAGAGGGGTATGGGAATGACCCCACCCAATCGTGGGGACAATCAGCAGCTTCTTCTTCCCTCGGACCGACCGAGAGAACAAGAATTAGTCTTCCCATCATGGAGTGGCAGAGGCCTCTCTACCACCAAGTCCAGCGGTACGATCTCTGGTAACAGAGTGGTACTGGATCATTGCCCAGAGGGCTCAGGTAAGGAGTTTCAGAGATACTCAAAAGCATTTATGATTGGGGGTGTGTGTGGTGTGATGTCCTCAGGGTTCATATGAGGCGAGTGGCATCCTGAGCTGCAGCAAGGGGAAGCACGAGTACCTTGGGATCACAGGGATGGGCAGGGACGGGCAATCCAGGAAGGAAGTCACACTAATGCAGGCAAAGAAAAAGAGAAGGAAGAAGAAACAAGTAAGGGAGAGATGAGCATCATTAAACTTAAGAAAAAAACCAGAGAGTTGAAAAAGGAGGTGTAGGTCTTGTGGCAGTGTGCGGGAGCCCCAGGAGAGCAGACGGGACTTAAAACAGTCACCAAAATTATGATAGACATAAAGTGAATCATGTGAACAGGTAAAGAGAAGTAAGTCATACAGATGTACCTTTGGATTTTCTACTTATTTATTGGAGCAAAAACATTTTGCCGTTTACCAGTTTTGTGGTGCTGTAATTTCCAGGGCCGTGCATAAATCCATAGTTTATACACAATGCATCTGATAAATTTCTGCTTTGAAATGGAGTAAAATCTTCAATAATTTGCAATCAGGTAGGCTAGAAGGTGACATCTTGTTGTAATGAAAATTTAATAAAAAAAAAGCTACAATTCTTACTCGCACCACATTTTTGAAGCAATTAAAGCCAGGCTAATGACAGTTGCTGCTTCCAGGTATGGGAACTATTTTTATCAATGGTCAAGGTAGAATAGTTGTCATAAGTAAATTTTGTTTTTAAATGGTGGGGTGAGAGATTGTGCTATAAACTAGTTCAAAAGTGTTTGGAAGTGATTTACACTTGTAAGCTGGTCAAGCAGGCATGTTCCATAAACCATTTTATCTTCACTCATCTCTAGGCACATACCTGTTTGGTCTCAATAGAGCGATAGTGCGAAGTCCCCTCACCTTATCCTCCAGGATAACCCTCCCTCACTTCTTCCTTCTGTCCCAAGTGCCTCTGTTAGGGCTTTGTTACTTAGTATTCCAGAGTCCTTCTAACATTCCACTTGAATTAATCATGGATACTTAGAGCAAAATTACTAGGAAAACAGAAGGAACGGGCTATCTTAGGGAAGAAGGAAAAGATCCCGTTTGGAGAAGTCCTCCCCTGGTAAGGCAGGGCTGGCTAGGTGCTAAACATGGTAGTTCTGAGTAGCCAGGGGCTGCAGGTTGGCGCGCGTGCCTGGTCCCCCAGTGATTTCCTATTACTTGTTTAGCACACCCTTTTATTATAGTTAATACAAAGCTCACATGTGCTGCTTTCTGAGTTTTGATTAACATCAAATTAATTTTTCTTATGATACACTCTCAAAAACATTTGCAAATCTCCCCCTCCCCAAATTACCAATGATTTCTTCACTGACACTGCAGGAAGATAACTTTTGTGTTTCAGCCCCAAATCTGTACACAGCCAGTTCGGCTGACTGGGACCAGTCAGTTCAGAACCAACCAGTTAGTTCCAGATAAAAATAGTCACACTGTTTATAGACATCTTTTTAATGTTTTACTTTAAAACAAATGAGCCCAGTAAAAGAGAGCAAAGGAGATTACACTTCAATGATAGCTTGAGATGGGTGTGATATTCCTGATTGATTTGTTCTCAGGAACAGACAACTGTATTGTCATACTCGACTTTTAGAACTGCTCACTTCAAATGCACATAATTTTATTAAGTTTCTCTTACAAAAACACAACCATGTCATTTAAGGCAAAAAATATCAGCTTCTGGGGAGATAAGTTAACGTTTCTGACATTTTCTCAGTCTGGTTGGATGAAGTGATCCATTAATTTAGTTGCTCAGGTTTCATCCTTTCTTGTAGTTTTGCTTTGCCAATGGGCATGAGAATTAGTCACTGTGCCTGATTTCCTCCTCTCTATTAGACTTGTTTCACCTGCAAATTATGAACTTTCAGAATCACTGAGTCAGTGGGAGGTGAGAAAGGCACCTTTGAACAGGAGATAAAGACTTAAAAACTCAATAAAGTGTCTCTTACTTAAAACAACTTGCAACCTACAGATATTAATTTAATTGAACAAAATGCAAACATTTAGACCAGACACAGCAATATTTTTAGTCAACCTCATATGAGGGATGTTTGCTAGTTTTAGCTTGATCCACCCTACATATTGAAGAAGGCAGGCAAACTTGAACTGAGAAAGCATGTGGCTGCTCAGTGCTCAGCTAAATTGTGCTTTAAGACACCATTTGGCATCGACCAATGGGACTTTGCTAAGAGTAAATGGGAGACCCCCTCAACTCCGTAGAGAGTAACGCAACAGACAAAACCCTACAGCTTTCATACAACTACCTTGGAACATCCAAGAGTGTTTGTGCTAGAGTAAGATATAGACACTAATGGTCATGGCTTCAATGTATAAAAGTTTTTCACATCATGGTTTATCACATTTTGCTCTGATTAAGACCTCAGTGATGCATTTAGGGCTTGTTTCGGAATCTTCAGTCTTCAGCAACGCTGGATGAACTGTACTGTGTCGGAGGCCTAGAGAGGTCTAAGGAGGGGTCCCCGATACATTCAGAATTCCTGCTGCCAGTGGGGTTCGACCCAGGACAGGGTGTGTCCAGGAATCAGTGCCACCTGAAAGCTGCTGCCTCCCTCCTCTTCCTTGACTGATAATTGGAGAGAGCCTGCCAAGTGCATGGCGGGTGTCTGGCTTTAGGTCAGTGGAATGATGTGTGTGTGTGTGTGTGGTGTGTGTGTGCGTGTGTGTGTACCACCTCCTTGGGAGGGCGTATCACAAGTTCAATTTGAGTGGAGACAGAGTAGGTGAAAAATTGCATTTCATAATTTACTAAAATTCTATGCTTCAAAAATGAAAACCGTTGCTTTAAAAGCTTGGTAAAATCTTTTTTTGACCGGAGTGTAAAATTTAGACCCTAACTTCTGCTCTCCAGCAGCCAAGAAGATGCCGAATGATACACTCCAGGGAGTGTGTTAGAATCCAGGTGGGTTGAGAAGAGGAGGCGTTTAGAATTTCAGTGTTTATCAAAAAGGACAAGGATTTCCAAAGGTTGAGAAGCCTATCTGAGGAAGAGCAGAGAAGTGGTTTACTTGGGGATGGAGACCGGGTAAAGCCTGGCGAAGTTCAGGAGCAAAACAGTGGCAGGGAACTGAGAAGTTAATGGAGAAGAAAGGTAGGAGGAGAGTCAGGGATTGGAGACGGCCTGCTGGGGGAGACAGTTGGGCAGGATGGTGGATTTCAGGGCCTCCTCCTGCCTTTGGACAGCCAGTTGCTATCCCTGCCTTGTCTTCCTGGCTGCTGAAAGTTTTTTTGGAGGAGCACTATCTGCCAAGGAAAAAACTCTTCCTTCCGTAAGTCCTGTGGCTGGAGTGGAACTGAACCGAAGTGCTCTCTGGCTCCCCCTTGCCTTTTGAATGCTGTTACCTTGGCTGAAGTTCTGAGACTGCTAGACAGGCTTCCAACAAGCAGTTGGCGTGGCTTGCTTTCTGGTAAATGCATCTCTCATTTTGTTTCCCTTGGGTCCTTGCTGCTGTGCTATATGATTTAAGTGTTTTAATTTGCAGACCCTGCTGGGGGTACCTGGCTTCTAACTGTGAATGTGTACACCAGGAAACGGAACCCTTAATTAGAGGTTTGGGGCAACATTCTTGGGGGAGCATAGAAAACGTTCGCTACAGTATAAAAAGTAAAGGAAGTTGAGTTATAGCCTTCCATATGCAAAACGTACTAGGTTAATAGCAAAAAACATTCAGGGCGTAGTAAAAAATAAATACCTTGCAAAATTCTCCGTTTATATATAAGAATAAGGGATGTTTAGGTAGTTGAATTCCCTAGCAATATTCATCTTCTAAAAAGATCAAGTTCTTCTATTTTGGTTTGTTTTTCTCCCTCTCATTGCCTTCTGAGGGCAAAGCTATTTTTGTTAACTTCACCTACTTCCTGGTGTTGTGTCTGGATTCTTTTCAAGCCTTTCTCATCTCAGTCTCACCCAAATGTCTAATTCCCCGGGATCCTGCCTGTATTATCAGTTCAGCGGGAATGGTTTCTCACACTTGATATGGTTTCTCACACTGGGGCAGCCCTGGCAAGCCAGGGGGGCGCACTGCAGAGAGATCAGTCCCAGCGCACCGGCCCTTCTACTCAGGAGTACTGTATTCGCGCGTGTAGAAGTTGACCACGTATAAAGTTGATTCAGCCATCAGGGACTATGTTCCCGTGAAATCACTTGTGTCGGATAGTCTATTTGCCCCACTGGCCCTGAATTTCATTATTTGCACGCTTTCTAATTGAAGAACATTCTTGTCATAAAGAACAACATGAAAATGATGTGCAAAATTGCTTGCCACAGCGTTGAATCACCAAAAGCACACAGACTGACATTCAAATTACATTAATAATAAAATGACTGAATAGGAATGGGTTGGCAAATATATCTTGAAGGAAGCAGCCATTTCTATTATTCCCAAGTTCTGCTTTACTCGATACCTTGTTAGCAGCGGTTGATGGTAGCCATTGTGTTTACATATACATTATGGCCTAATTTTGAAAATGTATTTTGTATTTAATCACAAAGCAGAAATGCCTGAAATTTGAAGTTGTTTACTCCCGTAATTTCAAAACACAGAGTCAAATCTTCTAAGTGACCTAATCTTGACATTTTCACACACCCCATAGCATTAGCAGTGTTTGGTTTCTCAGGATTTTTAACACAAGGTACGTTACTAAATGAGTGGGTTAAAGTTGATGTACCTTGGAATTTCAGCCATCCCTAAACATGCATTTTCATGCAATTAAAAGATAACGGGCTTATAAACTGCCTTTCATGTTCTTCCTGATTCTTGCAATTTCAACTTTTTAGAAGGGCTTTCAAAATAGTTCATGCAATGATATGTATGGCTAAAGGAACTGCTATGCTAGAAGGAAAATGGAGACCTTATTTCAGTTTGACATGAGGCAAGCTGAGGGCTTCTGTACTTTCTCCTGCCTTACAAATGCTCCGAGATGATCGAGATCTTTCAGTCCTTAGAGAGTCCGACGCAAAAGCAGTTTCCCCGGCAAGCTGCGGCATGGCATCAAACGTGTCTGTCTCAGTCTCTTCGGGACCCACCTCTTCATCAGTTATAAACAATTTGGATTCCCTCCATTTGGGGTAAAAATCTTGGCTGCCTCTGGAGCCACCTGACTCACTCCCAGAAAGCTGTAGATTCAGTTCCTCTGTCGACCTGATCAGGTTTTGTACCGACAGAGATTTGCCCAAGTCCTTGGGCACCACGGGGTGGACAGATAACAGAGTCTCTCCCCCCATGTCAAAGCTTTTCCTTAGAGCGCGGTCCTTGGTCAGATTTGACTGTGCAACCTGAACATTTTCCTTGGAGGCAACAAGGCAGGTGGTGACATCAGAAATGCTTTCCTGTAAGCCTGCGGGGCTCGGGTGCAGGGTCTCCGGCCTGGGCAGATGCTTGATGGCTGGGAGAGGAGGCGGGATCTGTAAAGTTGTTGGGGCTGCTGGCTTAGGTGCCACACTTATTTGGTTTGCAATGTTGCTGGCGGCCGCTGCTGCGGAGCTGTCACTTTGACCCATTGGCACCTGTGTTGCTTGACTGTGCATAGTAGGGCTAAGCGCGTAGAAAGTCTGCGCGCTGAACTCATTTGGCGTCAGAATGAACTGCAGGCCTCGAGAGATGTTGGCGCTCGCTGATCTGGATAAGCAGCCACTGTTCTGTGCAGAACTGGACAGGTCTTTGCTATCCACGGGGCTTTGATAGTCAGAGGTCTGTTCACATTCAAAAGGTGGGATCTGGAATGAGGCCAAAGTGAGGGCGGAGGCAGAGCCTTTCCGGAGGACCTGTTGATATATATCGAGTAGGCAGTCCAGCTTGGACTCGATGGACTGTACCTAAGAGTGGGGAAATTGGTCACATATGAATATAACCTGTTGTAAGAATAAGCTTCATTTCTAGAATTAAAACAATGCAGTCAGAGTGTGTCAATACAGTTAAATATTGAGTACAAAGTCTAATGTAGCGGTGAACTTTAGTACAACCTCAGAATGTACGTTCGTCTATCAGTGGTGCAGCCAAGGGATGATTTGGGAGGAGAGGTTCGCTTTGGCCTCTACATAATCTCCCCCCAATACCCCTCCCCTGTAACTCCTTATTGTATTTTATTTTTTTTCATAATTGAAGTATTTTTATTTTATGTACAATGAATTGGCCTTAAAGTAGGTATCTTGGATATCTGCAGTTAAGGTAGATTATCTTGGATGACCAATTCAAGGAAGTTCACTTAATCCAATTTAATGAAGCCTATATCCTTCGCGTACTGACGGAAACACTGGCGGCACATATTGAGGCCAGATTTCTGGATCAGACCGTGCCTGTTTGAGCAGATGCAGCAAGAATGAGAACCCTGGCCAAATTTCCTCGGATGGCCCCAGGACAGCTGCTCCCCCTAACTCTTTAAAATGGACAATTGATGTTCTCAAAAAACGTATAAGCAGTATACGAAAGCAACTGCAAGATTGCCAGCCCAATCACGTTGCCCTTGCTCAGCCTCCCCCAAGAAATCATTCTGGGACTCTACTGCGGTCTAGTCAGGAACTCCTCTATTTAAATCAAGACCTTAAATATCAATGTAGGTGATTCTGAATTTAAAAATAAAGGTACAAAATGCTTCCGAATTAATACTTGAGATATTTTTGGTTAGATTGGGGAAGCAATTTGATTTCTGGACAACTGTCGTCTTTTTTTAATTAAGTTTTAATTTTAATTCCAGTCTAGTTAACATACGGTATTATATGAGTTTCAGATGTACCTTATAGTGACTCTGCAATTCTAAAACGTACTCAGTCCTCATATGATAAGTGTACTCTTTCATCCCCTTCACCTATTTAACAACCCCCCCCCCCCGCCCCCATCCTCCCCTCTGGTAACCATCAGGCTGTTCTCTATAGTCAAGACTCTGTTTCTTGGTTTGGACAATTATCTTTGTACGAGAAGATACAGCTTCAGGGTTAACAACTGAGGTTTTGTTTTGTTTTTTAAAAAAGAGTGAAAAGGAGAGACAGTGACAATCACCAAAACACATATGAAAAATAGATCCCTGTTATTTTACTGTGGAAAATCTATAGTTGCTTCCAGTTCAAGTATTCACAGATGAGATGGAATTGTTTATTCCTTATATGGAAATCCAAGTGTTTTAGAGAACACTGTCTATGCACAAAAAATGTAGTTTCATTCGCCCTTTCTTGATTTTCTTCCTTTAAAATATATTAATCACTGGGAAGCCTGGGTGGCTCAGTCGGTTAAGCATCTGCCTTCAGCTCAGGTCATGATCCCAGGGTCCCGGGATCAAGTTCCACGTCAGGCTCCCTGCTCAGCGGGGAGTCTGCTTCTCTCTCTCAAATAAATAAATAAAATCCTAAAAAATTTATTAATCACTAAAATACATCAAATGACCTACATTTTTGATTAAAAAAGTTCGGACGGAAAAGTTAGCCCCTACAGTTGGATCGTACCTGCTTCTCCACCTTGACCACCCGGCCGAGCATGCTGAGGTCATCGGGGCTCTCGTGTTCTGCTGTGATTTTCTCTCGGCTCTTCTTATCCGATGTGATTTGCCCTTTTCCAAGAATTTGGTCAACACTATCAGAGAAAGAGGAGATCTGATTATAAATGCTGAAGACGGAGATTGCCCCAGGACAGAATGAAGTGTTTTGAAAAGAAAAATGAAAGACAATTATCTTTAATTTATGTAAGATGACATAAAAATGAACTTGTTCCAGTTGATGTGCTTATTTTCTTAACATGAGAATTACACATGAGATTAATTTTCTCATTATTCTGGTCCATGACGAAGTCACTTATGGGCAATCTTCTGGAGGTGAAATCGTCCTAAACTACAAAGTAATTTGTCTGTTTCCATCTCCAACCAGCCATTTCCTGAATTTAACTGCTGAAAATATGACAAAATCATCATTATGATTATTTCATGTTAATAGAACAGATTCTTCAGTGAACATTTACTATGGACCCGATATGTGGGAGCTAAGCAGACAGAAAGTGATCCGTCTCCGCTTTTTGGAATTCTAGTTGGAGGATAGACACCCCATGAGCTGGAAACTTAAGATTAGTTCTACAACTTCCGTAGCAGTTCAACTTTATACAAACCCTTGTTTTATAATAGTTCTATTAAAGGACTTGGAAGACCATGGCCACGTGGGCAGAGATTGTAACACGACCACAGGATGAGTTACAACCATTTCCAAGGAGACTTGATCCACTGAAATGGGTATTTCTTTCTTTTGTGTGTGTGTTGGAGCTGAATTATCAGGAGTACGGACTCAACGTTCCAGTTTACAGGCAGCGCCTACCTCCTGTCATGACATCTTATCTGTTATACTGCAAACTCCACAAGGACTAAGTCATTATTTTATTAATCTCTGAACGTCCATAGTGCCTGGCACACATTAAGGGCTCAATAATTGTCTGCTGGATAAATGAATGAATGAACGAACAAACTGTGATTTCTAGAATTGATCACCAGGTGATTTACTAAGGGCCCAGTATATGCCTCCCGCTGGGCTAAGTGTGCTGTGGGCATATAAACAAATGTTTAAGACTCTCTCCTTGTGTTTTAAAAACTCTTCAAACACAAACACCGGTAATTTGTGCCCGAGAACGAAGCAAGACTCTTAAAACACTGAGATGACTGAGCATTCTGGCTTCAAGGTAACACAATCAAACGTGGCTGCAGTAACATATCGAGCTCATTTCTTAAGATGCTCACCAGAGAGACAGTGGGTATCTGGCGCGGTACAGAACACTAAGGAAGGCAAAGGCCCAGCCTGAGTCACGAGCAGGGGGAATAAACTTGCACCCGGGACACAACACAAGAGCCAACCACTCGTTTTTGAGTCTGATTCTCGGGCACAGTGGTACCAGGATTATGAGTGTCTCTGTGCTCTGTGGTAGCTCTCAGTGCTGTAGGAGGTCAGAGAAGGGGAAGGTCTTTTTTTGTGGGCCAGACAGTCGGGAAAAGTTTAACGGGGGAGAAAGACGGCTTCTTTTTGAAGGACAGTCGGGATTCGGAGAACAACCCAACAACAGCCGCAGCAATCATTCCAGTGACATCAGCGACAACCATTAACAGTTACGGGGCACCCGGTTAGCAGGTAGTAACTCATTCAGTCCTGGTGACAACCCTATGAAGCAAACACTAACATTATCCCCACTTTTACAGATGAGGAAACTGAGATACCGCATGCTGTAGATGGAGGCTTTTAATGTCTGATTTATATCCTTAAATAAAAATCTACACTAACAGCAAAAGTCCAGTTATCCATGAAAAATGAATTAGAGCTATGAGAGTCCCGAGTTTTCTCTACAACAGAGAAGTTACTCTCAGATAATTTTTTTTTTTTAAAGATTTTTTATTTATTTATCTGAGAGAGAGAATGGGAGACAGAGAGCATGAGAGGGGGGAGGGTCAGAGGGAGAAGCAGACTCCCCGCTGAGCAGGGAGCCCGATGCGGGACTCGATCCTGGGACTCCAGGATCATGACCTGAGCCGAAGGCAGTTGCTTAACCAACTGAGCCACCCAGGCGCCCTCTCAGATAGTTTTTATGCCCATCCCTTCACAACAAATCACGTTTCTATTGCTTACCGTGTTTGGAGACTTTTAATTCTACACAACATGTCTAGATGACCAGCAGAATATTGTTCTATGACATCTTTTACATCATATGGGCGTAATGTTTCCTTAAACTTCCGTTTTGCAACATGAAATTTCATAATCCTGTAAGAGCAACATATTCCATATTAATCTCCACAACTTTGCTAAAAGAAGTTACCCAAATAGCTTGCTAGTAAATATGAGAACTCTGGGGGAAAAAAGAAGTCATGCATCAAATTATTTTAGGTTCCTCCAGAAATGCAACATAAAAGCCCAAGATTATAGTGGGCAATTTAAGAACATCTCATGGGAGGCACACACTGAGAGTAGAAAAACACACAAAAGAGACTTAATACTAAGTGTTATACCTTTTTACTGTTCACTGAAACCCTGAATTAAAATCAAAGTCAAAATGCAGTTCTGCCTTTTCGATGTGACCCTCAGAAGTTTAAGAAATAACACCTAGTGACTGCATCCCTTAAAAAATATAAAAATTGTTAAAACAGTCTTTTATGTAACTATGAAATTTCAGATGCAGATGTGTCTGCAAAACTCTCTTAGTCTCTCTAGAAAAATGTACATTTGTATAGAAATTTATGAAAATTCTGTTTCATAAATTACTTTTGCAGGATACTGCTCGATTAGGTAGCCACGTTCCTTTTGTTTCAAATGTAACACACTCATTCACTAGGCTTGGATATCTAAGATTTCAGAACCAGAGATCTCTTTTATTACAATGCTTCCCCCGACATGGACCTCATGCTTTTTTTTTTTTTAAGATTTTATTTATTTGAGAGAAAGAGAGAGCGAGAGAGATTGAGTTTGAGCATAAGCAGGGGGGAGGGGCTGAGGGAGAGGGAGAAGCAGGCTCCCTGCTCAGCAGGGAGCCCTGATACCCCTGATACCCGATGCCCAGAGCTCCATTCTAGGACCCTGGGACCTGAGCCAAAGGCAGATGCTTAACCGACTGAACCACCCAGGCACCCTGGATCTCATGTTTTAAAAGAATATTTCATCAATAAATCCCATGATGCCATAAATAGCTAAGTTGCCTAAGATAAACAGTTACTGTAATAACCTGATATTATTCCCGAAGAAAGCAAAGAAGCATAACATTTTAATGAGTCTGTGCAGTCTTAGTGCAGGTAAATGTTAAGCCTGACAGTGTTTTTTCAACTCTTAAACGGCTCATAGATCCCCGTTATCATACTCATGGATCCCAGGCTGGGATTCAGTCAATTAGGTTCTGCAAACCACAATTTGGTGTCCCTTGGTGGAAAGTGGGAAGATGAGGTATAAATGTAGAAAATACTCACTACCTATCCTGATAGCTGATTGCAAGGAATCCAAATTGTCTTATTGGTTAAGAAGCCCCAAACTCTATCTTGTAATTGTATTATTAACTTCAAATTAACTGTATCCTAATTATTTTGGAATCATTTATCTATAACATTCTTACTCCCTCTCTCTACCATATTTTCTCCACCAATCTCTTCTTTGTTCAGGATAAATTTTTTTGGTCTGTTTTATTGTTTGTTTTTGTTTGCAGAAAAACTGAAGCATTATTCAGAGGAAAGTAGAGGAAATCTGTTTTATTTTAGCCTCTTAGTATTTAGCTTTAGTTCCAAATTTGTTTATCAAATTTGTTTAGGGCTCAGTCTCCTATATTAAAAAAAAACAACTGCGAAAACTAGTGAAATAGCTACCCTGTGAAATTTTTGGCCCCGAGTAATTATTATTATTATTTTTTAAAGATTCTTTCTTTATTTATTTTTTATTAGAGAGAGAAAGAGTACAAGCAGGGGTAGCGGCAGGCAGAGGGAGAGGGAGAAGCAGACTTCCCGCTGAGCAGAGAGCCTGATGCGGGGCTCGATCCCAGGACCCTGGGATCACGACCTGAGCCGAAGGCAGACGCTTAACTGTCTGAGCCACCCAGGCACCCTAGTAATTATTATTATTATTTTAAAAAAGATTTTATTTATTTATTTGGCAGAGAGAAACAGCGAGAGAGGGAACACAAGCAGGGGGAGTGGGAGAGGGAGAAGCAGGCTTCCCGCAGAGCAGGGAGCCCGATGCGGGGCTCGATCCCAGGACCCTGGGATCATGACCTGAGCCGAAGGCAGATGCTTAATGACTGAGCCACGAAGGTGCCCCCCCAGCAATTATTTTTTAAATCTCTGTTTCCCCACACTAAATTGTCAGCTACATGAAAGCAGGGTGGGCCTCTTTTATTCAACAGGCGGTGCTTAATAAATGTTAGCTCTTGTTACTACTGCTACTTCTACCCGGTTACTATCACCATTCTTCTTCAACACTGAGTACTCAGAGCTGAGCACACTTCCCGATACGCAGTGGAAAGAAACATTTGTTGAATAAGAGAAGGCAGGAAAGAAAAAGAAAAGATCCGCTCATCTAGGTAATATTAAGAATAAAACCAGAAGAAAAGCTAATCCACAGCCTAGGCCCTCTTTACTTAACCTTCAGAGTAGCTAATGGTGCCTGGGTGGGTGGGGGAAAAAGGAAAAAAAATCATCTTTATACTTCCCTAGGTGGTTTTTACTTGTTGTTGTTTGTGTTTCCAATAATATTACCATTTGTTATGTGAAGTACCTTCTTTTTTTGTTTTAAAGATTTTTATTTATTTATTTGAGAGAGAGAGAGCAAGAGAGACAGCGTGAGTAGGTGGAGGGGCAGAGGGAGAAGCAGGCTTCCTGTGGAGCAGGGAGCCCGATGCGGGGCTCGATCCCAGGACCCTAGGACCATGCCCTGAGCCGAAGGCAGATGCTTAACCGACTGAGCCACCCAAATGCCCCGTTATGTGAAGTACTTTAGATGTCTTATCTTCAACAGCACTTAAGACAGTCTTATTTCCCTTTCATATTTGGGGAAACTGAGATTCAAAGAACCTATGTGACTTGCCCCCACACAAGCAACCAGTGCGACGCAAAGCCAGGATCCCACCCAGATCTGTCTGGTTCTCACTCTCACATCACCTCCTGGTTTCCCATGGCATCAATTCTTCAGATGTTGAAAAGATTGGTTGGGATCTTCGGCAGTTTTTTTTTCCTTGGCTATGGTGGTAGAAAACACGCTACATGCAGCGGGACGAGCTTTGGCATGAGTTAGTGTATTCCCATTGGCTGTAGCTCAGGCATTTGTGGTCTGTGGCATGGCTGCCCAGCGGTGGACCCACATACCTCCAAACTGAATGACCTGTTTTGTCCTCATGGGGGCCTGCCCTTGTTTCTTGCAGGGAGTTGTGTGAATTCTCTATGGCAATTTGTCTCAAGAGTTGCATGTTGCTTTTCTCTTTTTCCTTTCACCAGTACTTTAACAGAAAAACAATTTGAAGGCATTCAATAGACAGTATTATACTCTGGTCCATACTCAGTCATATTTTAAGCAGACCATAGCTGATTTCATTTTTTTTTTTTAAAGATTTTATTTATTTATTTGACAGAGAGAGACACAGCGAGAGAGGGAACACAAGCAGGGGGAGCGGGAGAGGGAGAAGCAGGCTTCCTGCTGAGCAGGGAGCCTGATGCGGGACTCAATCCTAGGACCCTGGGACCATGACCTGAGCCGAAGGCGACGCTTAACGACTGAGCCACCCAGGCGCCCCCATAGATAATTTCATTTTATTTGCATAGTTTACCATTTATGAACTAGGCAAATTAAAGGAAAATCCATTTTTTAGAATTTTGATCAATATTTATAATTTTGATTTGTACTGTTTGCCAATTTCCATGGTACAAATACTCCTACCATACTTCATATTTCAAGCTATCAATGTGACATCACTGAGCAAGAAGTTGGGAAGAGATGTGCAATATTATATCATTAGGTAGTATACCATACAGATACAATAGATGTGTACAACTCAAGAATATAGAGAGTAATATGTAGTAAAGTGATTAGGAAGTAGTGAGTGTTGAATATGTATTGCCTTTGTTTTTAATATAACTCATTTTATTGTGAGTTTATACAATTTAATTTTTAATAATGGCTGTATTTAACAAGCAGCAAAATTCCCAAAAATGTAACATTCAGCTCCTGAGAGTCAGTACAAGCTGGCTCCAGCCCATCCCTGCATATACTCCTCTTTTTCAAATAACTAAAATGGTATTATTAATCCAATTTTTAATTGATTTCCTACCATGAAAGTAGGAAAGTCTATAAGTAAAGCAATGGAGGGAAAGCAATACCCCCACGGGGTGATACAATGTGTAGGAATAAATGGTAAGCCTATTAAGAACTTTAATATTGATTCAGCCTTGCATACCTATCATCATGTGGCCATACCCAAACACCATAGAAGACAATCAGTTTCCCACTGAGGACTGCTAGTTGCTAAGCATTTAGCGGGACATTACTGAGTGTAAAAAAAACCATTTTTCCTATTAAGGATTAAGTTTTCTAAGGACAACAAATATGTTTTCTTTTTTAAAAAATATTTTATTTTATTTTAGTTTTTTAAGTAACCTCTACACTCAACATGGGGCTTGCACCCACAACCCCAAGATCAGGAGTGGCAGGCTCCACTGGCGCCCCCGGACAACAAATAGATTTGCCTTAACTGTCTTTGTTGTAGGTTGAAAATGGAAACATTGAAGAGGTCGGAGGTGAGATAAGAAAATTCTAAATCGGGCAATATGTTTTATAAATCTAGAGGGAATGTTTAATAACAAAAGTATTTTTGAAACCAGTAATTTATATAAAGGATGACGACAGTCATTTTGCCTTTGCCAAGGACAGACCAAGCATGTACTAAGAGCGCTCAAGCTGTCCCCTCCTTTCTATTTGCAATACTATAGCCTTAGAAAGAATTAATCTTCCAAAGTGAAAGTGAGACCACATTGCCCCCCTTCCTAAGATCCTTCATTGGTTTTCCATGGCCCCTCAAGTAAACATCAAATTCCTTAGTATATCGTATAAGGCTGTTTATGGACTGGCCTCTACCTCTCTCACTTTCCAGTCTGTGTTTGGAACTTGAGGTTCCAGCAACAACAACAAAGTATTTGCAGGTCCACAAAACACCATTCAGTAAATCATGTACTTCAATTATTTGCATATTCTATTTCCTCTTCCCGAAATCCTATGATATCTTTAAGACTCAGCTCTAA